AACCCCTCCGCTTTCCCCCACCCTCTTTCCCAGAACTATGGCAATCCAGCCGTGCTTTGGAAGCAACAACAGGAAATGTGACTTGAAAAGAAAATGGCTGGGCCTCCAAAATATGCAGGCTCTGGGCAGGGTTTCGTCTTGAGCGCATCTCAGCTTTCTTCTCTGTTTCGCTTCTAAATGGCATTGATTCCAGTTACCGCCGGTGGTGCATGAACACAGCACATCTGGTCTGATGCTTAAGGAAATGGCTGGTTGACTCTATCCCCTGAAATACAGCCTACAAGAGTAAATAATTTTTTTAAAGGACTCGGGATGATTCTATTGTTTTTCCTGCAGAGGCTGACACCCAGATCCCTTTCTTGGTGGGAAGCCATCGACACCAGGCAGAGAATGGCATTAAGGTGCATGGTGGGCCAAATTCGCTTTCGAAGAGAAAGGTCTCAGCCTGCTTGCAAAACGACAGCAAAAACAAGACCAGGCTGGCCTCTAGTGGGAGGGAGTTCCAGAGTCTCTGGGAGCAGCCACAGAGAAGACCCTCAAATCCAAAACATGAGCTGGGTTATATGGGAGAATATAATCTGGACTGAAATCGCTTAACGATTAGGTTTTTGCAATCGCTTTTGCGATCGCAAACCGATGTTTAAATGGGGGAATTTCGCTTCACGATGATCGGTTCCCTGCTTCAGGAACCGGTTTTTCGCTTAACGATGATCAAAACAGCTGATTGTCGGGTTTACAAAATGGCCACCCGCTGTGCAAAATGGCTCCCCGCTGTGTTAGGGACAGATTCCTCACTATACAGGGAGCAGAAAATGGCCGCCCTATGGAGGATCTTCGCTGCACAAGCAGGTATTTCGCCCATTTAAATGCATTGAACGGTTTTCAATGCATTTCAATGGGCTTTTTTATTTCGCTTGACAACGATTTCGCTCTACAGCGATTTTGCTGGAACGGATTAACATCGTCAAGCGAGGCACCACTGTACTGCTCCCTCAAAGGTGACAATTCTAATACAAACCAGAGTACAGCAGAGTTTGCTTTGTAAATTTGGCTCGTCAGACCTACAGAGAGATCACAGCCTGCACACTGAGATTTCATGTGGACACTAACTGGATTCTACACTTGAAACACTCGCTCAGGTTTCCTCTAATTCACCATAAGCATCTGTTAATATTCTGAAATGCTTCTCACAAAGCTGAAATGCTCTCCAAGATCTTAGGGTTGTGTAAGTGTGGGTAGACACTAAAAATATTCCTCTATCTCGGCCCCAAACTGAAGCGTTTAAGCGTTTCTAAAGAACGTGACCAAATTCTGGCACACAGGCATGCAAGGAAAAAAAGAATAATAGTTGTGTGTGTGCTTGTGTGCGTATAATTTTGTTATTAAAAAAAAGAGCACGTAGCAAACCATAATGGGTTGGAGTGGTAGGGAAGAAAATAACAGGCAGAAAGAACGGGAACTTCTGCTAGGAAATCAGAGTTTAGGAAAGGCAGGAACTGGGGGCTGAGAGGTGAGCTGTTTATTGCACGGTGACAGCGAAGAAATAAAAAAATTATGTGGCAGATCCTCTGAAAGTTATGGCTTTATGGAGCTCCATGCCAAGGGATCTCGGCTAGCGGGAGAGAGAGAGAGAGAGAGAGAGAGAGAGAGAGAGAGATTTAACGAATGTTGGCTATAAAATGCAATGGCTTTCTGGACGGCATAGGGAGTTGAGGAATGCTAGATAAAGGAATTTGTTAAGCCCCTCTCCCCAAAATTAATGACACCATAAATGGACCTTTTAACGTGAACAAGCCCCCAGAAAGCAATCCCCGGACGGCTTACGGTTATTAGCAAACATGCTTATTCTTCAGATTCGTGCTTGGAGGGTTGGGCTGGATAGGGCGACACAGTGTGTGGGAGACCTTAAAACTCTATAGGTCCTGTGCCCATTCCCTCTCCCTAACCAACACATCTCCTTCATTGAACAACAAAGCCATTTAAAGGAAATCAGAGCGGTTTAAAGTGGAGGAATCAAGGACTAGACCTACCTTAGGTCTCCAGTTGTGGAGCCAGAGGTTGGGAGCTCAATTCCAACCCCATGACCCAGAACCACATCGTTCTTGTACTGTTGGACAAAAGGGTAAGGGGCACAGCAGAATTTAACTCCTTCTTTCCTGTACCCAGTGTGACGTTGTAGTGGATAAAGCGACAAACTCAGGAGATCTGAGTTCAAATCCCTGCTTAGCCAAGGAAAATCACTGGGGGAGTGGGACCTGGTAAAACCACTCCTTAAATAACTCATTTACCTTAAAAGCCCTGTTAGGGTCTCTACCGGTTCAGTTCCGATTTGACGGCACATAACAACCGTTCTTTCCAAGCCTTTGAACCCTGTTTCAGGAAAAGGCCTCTCCTCTTTGCGTGTGAACCATGCTAGGCAGACAACGCCCTGCGTATTCATGAAGAATACGAACACACACGCCTGGTAGACTCATTGAACTACAACCTTCCATTGTTTGGAAGTTCGGTCTTTGACTTCTCAGCCACTAGACTTACCCACAATTCCACTGGGGGAACAGATATAAACTCTTTTCATACAGAATAGGTTTTTAGTTGTTGGAAAAAGCTCTGCGGTTTGGGATTAAGCTTGGATAATTCCTGGAAAATAGTTTATGCTTCTCATTGTAGAGCAGAGCGCCCTCGCATCCCAGTCTTTTACGTGGTATGCAAGCTGTCACTGTTGTTTTTTATTTTTATTTTTTTAAGGAAGAGAATTCCAACACGCTACCTCTTGGAAATATGATTTATACTGCAAACATTCCCAAGACTCTTGAAAACCACACGCTTTGGCAGAACTTCTAAGGTGGCAGGATGAAAAATGTTAACAGGGTAATGAGAACAGGTTGGGTCCTTTATTTTGTGCTGTTTGAAATACCTCTGTGTATAGGCCTTTACACATTATGTAGAGCTTGAAAATATTGCTTCAAAAAGCCATCCATTACAATTATAGTCCCAACACCTTCAAAACATGTATTCCCACCATAGTTACAGGTTTTTAACAAAACCTCTTTGGTTTCCCATATCTCAAAAGGAACACTAAAATAAGTCCAGAGGCACTGTTTTAAGAAAAAAGATGGAAAAATCATCTTCTATGCCATGCACCCATTCTCCCGTTCATAAATACTTTGTCAGCCTAGGTGGCCCCGATGAAATCTTGTCTCTCCTCCTCAGAGGACATTTTCCAAACAACTGTTTTGTGGCATTCATCTAAAGTCTCCTTGACGGGGTATTTGCGTAAGGCCAATGTTGTCTCTTCTTAAGTGTCAAATTAAAAGGACAAACCAAGACAAATGAAGCCAGTCGAACACAAAAGGACAACTTAGGCCTCAGAGGGCAACACAACCTCTAGCGACTGGCATGCACAGAATTGCGGGTGCATCTCTTTCTCGCCCTGGCAGCTTCTGCTGTTTAGCAAACTGCCAAGCGCCACTACAATTTTTCACACGTCGCTTTATATGAGGTTTCTGTATGGGATGTTGTATAAGGGCCGTCCTGGTTCTACATGTCAAATTATATGTTACAGATATATGTTCTTAGAAAAAGGAGATCTTGTGAGCCTCCTAGAGATAGGATTCTGGCAGACCCTTGTGTCTCAGCAATCAGACTTGCAAATAAAGCCCTTCTCTGCCTCCCAGGGACCAATCAGAAAGCAGACTAATTTGCAAACTACAGAAGCTATGAAAACTCCGGCTGTGACAAGCTAACATCTTTCAGCACCCAAAGCATCCTTACTTTGTAGGATGTGCTGACTTGACCATATGCGACAACCAACTTCTTTTTACTCCTGTGGTCCTGGGTGATTCATGAGCCAACAATGGGTTATGTTTTTTTTGTAATTACCACAAAACAAGGCTCCCACACCTACAACTTTATTGTTCCCTCACCCCATCCAGTCACAGCAGCAGCATCTAAAATTTTAAATCCGCTTCTCAGATTTATACATGTTCAAGATGGTCCAAGTGAATTTCTTTTATAGCTGTAGCACATGGTCTGTATTTAGAGTTCTGTATGCGTGTTGTGGTGGGGGGGGCGGGGGCAGGAAAGGTTGTATTTCAGAGTTCCACCAACCTCCTCTATATTTGGGATAGCCTGGGAGAATTTGGGAACAACACCTTCACAATTAAATGTGTTGGGTGGACAGGGGTACTTGGCACACGGTCCTCCTGCATCTTGATTTCATCAATAGGCCCTTTAAACGCTTTGGAACGGCTCCCAGGTTCTCAACCAGACCGAGCGAAGAATGGGCAGCAGAACAAGGAAAAATACACACCGCAGGAAGTTAAGACAAGTTAAATGCATCACACAAGTTAACTGCAGATGCAGGAATATCATCGATATAATATCATCAAGTTGGTCGCTGTACATGAACCAAAGAGGGGCAGAGATCTGATCGGGAGGCTTCAAAATCAGTTTGGAAACTTCCGCTAGGGCAAAGGTTGTGACCAATGAGATGGTACGTTGTCACTTTGCTAGGAACGGTCTTCCTTAAAGTGATTCTTCCATCCAACAGGGAACTGCTCCAGCCCAGCCCCCCCCCCCCAAAAAAGAAGCAGCTCCAACAGCTAGAGAGAAAAAACGGTCCATCTTGAGCATGGATAGGAGTTGGCCTGGTGAGTTATTCCCCATATGTAGTGTGACTGGCTGGGAAATAGCTTCCACCAGACCATGCCACGAGAGATCCAAAAGGCCGGCTAAGTGCCCCTGGGATCACCCCTTCTGCATTTCGAATCTGTCACCTGTTTAAGAGCACCTGAGCCACTCTGCAAGGGAAAAAATGTCCTGTGGCTCCGTGCTAAAGCATGTGTGCTGAGGGTCACAGGTTCAAGGCCTGGTATTTCTGAAAATCTGTAAAGTTGGTGGAAACAATACAGAACTAGAGGGAAGGGTCTAATAACTCAGTATAAAGCAGACAGGTATTTTTTGTAGATTTCTGGGCTCGAGTCATGATGCCGGGTTCTTACCTTCAAAGGCAGCGGTTTCTCTAAATTCCAGACCTAAAGAACAATCAATGGGGTCAGGGAGAGATGTCTTCGTAAACTGAATTATAGCTTTGAAGAGGCATCTGGCTGGTCTCTGTTAGAAAAACAACATCAGGTTAGGTTTCTTTTGTTCTTCAGCAAACAGAATATACTTTTTATTCTTTCCAAGAAGTACCTAGTTTGGTGCTAGGGGCCTCAAGCAAGATCCTTGTTTCCGGAATGCAGAAGCAAGATTTTAATTTTTTTTAAAAGTATTCTTCCTATGAATCCAACCGACAGGAGGAGAAGTTGATGTCTTGGGCCAAAATTAAGAAGGATTTTGCACAGTACAATGTTTGCTAAATAGATTTACTCAGAAGGAAATCCTATTCGGTTCAGGATGGCTCACTCCCAGGTAGATAGGGACTCTATAGCGAGTAGTTTTCCTCAACATTTCTGTGCCGAGACAGGGCACAAAACGTGCCCTTCTGCTGTCATGGTGGAAGTCTGAAGTTTTCCATACCTGCATCAAAGCTGGTCTGTGCTGGGCGCTAAATCCTGCCCCATCTTTTGTTATGACTATGTGTGTGGGGGGGGGAAGCAAACGAGGAGCCCAGTCCCATGGCTCAGGTATGCCCTGCTGGTGGCTACTGTTTATTTCCTGGAAGTCTAAATACCACGTTGACTAATATTAGTCTGTCTGTTTGTGGAAAGCAGCCCACAGGATGCTTGAAACATCTTTCCAGGCCCTGTGGCAAACTCTGCCAACCCATCTACCCTTAAATAATATCGACCTGCTCCTTACATCTGAAGGCCAGATTTGTTTCAGAAGAAAGCTCCTTTCTAGACTGGCTCTTTGTTTTAAAATATTCACATGGGCCTCATTCTTTTTCCCGCCCATGTTCAGATTTTTTTTTTAATACCAGGAAAATGTCCAGTGACCACCTGAGCAAATACATTTGGTGTTGGGGTTTTTTTTCAGAGGAATAATACATAAATACAATGGGGGACCTTCCAGAAAATAGAGGCATGGGAAGTCGTTAGCCGGAGCCCATTCAATCCGTTGCTGATTAACTCGGTTGATGCCTCTCGGTGGTCTAGGGCCCTGAAAGGAGCTCCTGTCACTTTTTAAGTTAATCCTGTCAACCAGAAGTGTCCAATATTGAATTTGGGATCTTCTGTGTGTCTGCTCTTCTATCCACCCACCCGCACATCCATCATACACTGCCTGGCATAAAGGGAAACCAGGTGGCATGTAGGAACAGGACATACCACTAGATGTCTCACCCTTCCTAACGGTGCACATTCCATCCTGAAATAACACCCAAAGCATTTGGGGATGACCTAGTGATTTTCCCTATGAGACCCGTAGCTGGAAAATAATATGTTTGGTTTCTCAGCCTTTCTGAAAGGTTTAGATGGCCCTCTTGGGACATTGCAGGGTAACCGTGGGTACATTTTATTTCTAACCAGCTGGGGCACAATGGGAATCGCTTTTCATTCTATCGCAACCAGGTTTCTGCCTGGCATTTGCACGTCAGGGAGGGAATTCATCAGCCTCCATGTGTGTCTTCCAGGGACGCTCTGTCTGCTGCAACTGATCTTTTAAGGCAAAAAAGTCCCAAGACATTTCTGAGAAACCCCGCCAGGGTTGTCAGAACATCAACCCTGGAAGTTGGGATTAGGGAAAAAGGATTTCACAGCGGGCTCCCAAAGGGGCTTCAATCTTGGTGCCACTTCTCTCCCCCCACGACCCCTCTCTTTTTTGCTTCACATCAAATTCCACATTCACAGTTGAAAAGCCGTGCAGCCTGAATCCATCTTCCGTTTTAAAAGCCACACTGCAGGATGGAAGCCTGTTGTTACATCCATGCTCTGGGGACAGAGCCAAATGTGCCGGAGAGCGCGGCTTATGTTACACCAGCCGGCATCAGAAGCACCACCCCCGGGGAGAAATCATAAAAAGGCGCTTCTTGTTCCTACGACATTCCGTTCCCGATGGATATTCCAAAAGGCACGGCGGGACCTGCCTACGAAAGAGGCATTGTTGAGCAAGCAGGAAATCCTTTCCAGCATCGTGTTGGGGGTGGGGGGTAATGGAGGGGCTGGGAAATTTGGAAGAAGGAGATACTAATTCCTACATCTCTCCAAATCACACACAAGAAAGATGGCCTTGTTTCTGTACAAAAACCTCTAAGCATCTGTTAGCGTGGGAGTCTTGGGGGAAAAGAAGCGAGACCTGGAATACCTTTTGCTGTACAGATCCTCGCCTTATATTGTAGATAATGCTAAACACAAACAGCCGTGAACAGACATTGTGCCTGGGCTTTGCCTGTTCTATATTAGAGAAAATATAGGAAGAACAACTCATTTCCAACCCCCCGAACTGGCTAGTTGATTCTAATTCAATTCAGATTCAACATTCACCAATCTCCCATCATCCCCAGTCATAGATTGGGATGGTGGGAATTAAGAACTGAGCACATTTTGGAAGGCACAGTGTGGGGTTGGCTAAATCAATTTAAAACATTCTGACCCAACTAAAAATGGGTCTCTAATGAATTCACTGGTTAGCAAACTAGGAAAAGATATCAGAAATAATCTTATGAAATGGTCAAATGAATCTGTACAGATAGCACATTGTTAAAAGCAAAAAGCACCTTCATAAGCCTGGTGCTACAACTCCCACTGTGCTTTATGTGTGATCAATCTTATATGCAAATGAAGTCCAGCTTACCTCTCAATGACCAATCACAGAACAAAGCAAACTTAATTTGCAAGCTATGGGAGGTGAGAAAAGCTCGTACCATGCCAAACATTTTTTCCAGCACTTCAAGAACTGCGGCTTCTAATGACATGTTGTTTACAACGTCTACTTCGACACTTAGAAGAAATTTCCCTTTCTATGTGAAAAGGATCAGGGAGTGCCTCTTATCCGGCAACGCCTTCTGTAGCACGTGTTTATTCACAAAATACAGAAGTACTTTCACAGATTCATGGAGATTCAACCAAATAATCAAATAAAGCTAATTTAATTAACTTAGGCCATTCAAACTCGAGTGTCAAGGGAAAGAGACAATACAGGCAGACAGATTAATATCTCTGGAAGCTGAGCTGAGAGAAATTATCTCATTTTCTTGGGAAAGCTGAAGAAAGCTCTCATCCTAAATTGTGATTATTTTCTGCTCAAAACTATTGTTTTGTTTTTCTCTTTCTGCCGGCCCAAAACAATTTCTGTGTATGCAAGCAGGAGAGGGCCATGGCCAGCAGGAGATAAATTTCAAATAAAATAAAATAAATTCCCCACATTTGGTTTTCTCCAGAAAGGCTGCTCGCGCACGTCTGCCGCCGTGTCTGAACCGTGTATTAAAAAGCCCCGTTTCAATCAAGGTAACCATTCTGCTCCACTCGCCAAGACAAATATTAGGTTTATTTTCAGACCATTAAGAGCAGTCGCCCTCGGCAGACCTGGTTTCCTTTCCTTTTTTGAACAGGCTCTTTTCAACTCCGTGGCCCCAGAGTCCTTGAGCCGGAGCTCGACAAACAAGAAAATATTTGCAGAGTATTGGGAGGATATTTCCCAGGTTTTAGTCTTGCCCGTCCTGCTGACTAGAAATCTCCTGTTTTCAGAGGGGAAGCTGAAACCAATAGCAGGTACCCATCGATACGGCCAAGGTCAGTCCCAAGAGGTGCTAGGGCTTCCCAGAACCAGGGGTTCCTGAAATATACAGAATTTCCCGCAAGGATCCACAGCAATTCTGCCCAGGGGGGGGGAGATTATGGGCCACTTAAAATGGCAACTCTGCTATTAGGTGCCCCAGTGGCCACAGATTTCCCCCCAGACAAAAACGGGTCCGTAAGGGGCCCCTTTATCAAGATTACTTTCAAACCGAGCCACACCAATGTGACAATTAACTGGACTTAAGGCAGCCACTTCAAACGTGGGATTCTGGCCATGATGGAAGCACTTCCACAACTTATTTTATTTTTATTTCACCATACACTTTTACTCTCATGGAGAGCCAGCTATGAGATTGACTGGCCTATTAACCTGGCTAGCTTTGGGTACCACATGCCTTGATTTATTGTGTTTTATTATTTGTATTTTTTAATCTTGACTTACCTCTTTTATGCTAGTTCTTATTCCTTTTTTTTCCCTTGCCTGGTCACATCATCCACCAGAATCACTAGAGGCATTTTTGCAGTCTTAGGACTCGGTTAGTTGCACATGCTGGGCCGAAGGAGAGCCTGTAACCTGTTTTAAGAAAATAAGGTGATCTAATTAACCAACAGATACTCAACATGGTGTAGTGGATTGAGTAACGGACCAGGACTCGAGAGACCTGAGTTCGAATCCCTGCTCAGCCATGTGGAAACTCACTGGGGGACATGGAACTGGTAAAAACACTCCTTAATTATCTCACCTACCTAGAGATATAGGGTCCCTATAAATGGGTTCAGACTCAATGGTACAGAACAATCGCCACCATTAACCAATAAGGCTTCAGATTTATTGATTTATTTCGAAGAAGCTGCAGATGGTAGGCCCAGCTTCTTGATACTGTCAGCAACAGTAATTCTCTGATCTCAACCCATACTGCCTCTCCCAAGAGACAAAAATGTGCTACGGGAAAAGCTAGACACCATTCTCATTTCTCCCGCACTTGGGTTAACCTTCTTCCCCGGACAGACAGACGGACGGACGGGCCAGAGGAGTGAAAGCAAAATGAACCAGTGAGGGAGGAAGGAAGGCGAGCTGTTGAGACTCTCTCTCTCTCTCTCTCTCTGTGTGTGTGAGAGAGAGAGAGAGAAACAGAGAGGGTGTTTGTTTTGGATGTACAGCCACTGGAAAAAATATCTCCTGGCCCATTTTGCTTGGCTTCAGAGGCTTGTTTTATTTGGAGAACAACAGAGGACAACGGGGAGGCTGAAAATACAATGATCTGCCTGACAGGTTCTTGACCCACTTTCGAGGGCCCCGGCTAGCCAACGCCACATGTCGCTTGCAAGGGCATTGAAACAGGCCCAGCAGCAGGACAGGGAGGCAGGAGTGAGGAAATATGCCAGCCAGCTGGGCTCTGAAGGGAGAGTTTGCGTTTGCATCAGCTGAGAGCCATCTTTGCAAAAAAAAAAAGCAAAGCAAGCTGGCAGCACACGGGAAGCATAGAGCAGCCTGCACCATGGCAGCAAGCGTGGGGGGGCATTTGATCCTCAGACACTGATGAACTGTACCATTACAGTGGAGGGACCATGGCAGCAAGCGTGGGGGGGGGGCATTTGATCCTCGGACACTGATGAACTGTACCATTACAGTGGAGGGAGGGGGGAATCATTTCTATCCTCCATGTTGGCAAAATTAAACAAAACCAACCAGTCAATGAACAAAAACGAGACAGCCTGACCAATGTTGAGCCATTCTGGGAGTTAAAAGTCTAAAATATCTAGTGGGGCCAACCACTAATCTGAACAGCAGAAGAGAAAAGGTGTGGCCTCCCAAATACTGTCATACTACATCTCCTATCATCCACTGCAATTGACTGTCGCATCTACAAGTGACGGGAGCTGTAGTAAAACACCAGAAGGTCAACAGTTGACTGTTTTTGTAAAAATAAAGCAATAACAACTTTCTGCTGTGTGCGGCAACTGTCAAATTAAACCTTTAAAGAAAATTTTTCTATGCTTTTGGCTGGCCTAATAAAGGGAATGCCCTAATTTTTGGGGGGTGTGTGTGGATTTTATTTTTTGGTGTATACATGGATACATTTCTTTTTCTGAATTAACTGTTGAAGACATGCATAGGATTGTATCATTAATTTAATTACACTGCAAACCCACGAATTAGATAGTCACAGAGATCAAAGTTAATCAGCATTCAGCACATAGTCTTTTAAGTTTAGAATCTGTCTGGTTTTAGTCATATTTAGCCTGAAACTTTCTGACAGATAAGTTTAACCACAAAGTTTGGATGTTAGAAGTGGTTTCTTTCTTCTGAGAAAAGAAAAATATATTGTAATCAAATATACCCTGAATCATGGAGGAAGGATGCAGGTAGAAGCGTTTCAGGTTTGCTTGCTTTGTTTTACTTTTTAGAGTAGCAGTGATGTCATCAACCAGAGCATTAAAGAAATGGATGGTTCTTTCAGAGTCTGACAAATACAGGAGGTGATAATAAGGCTTTCAAGTTTTTTTTTAAAAAAATGATTTTACTGAGTTACATGAAAAATTAATAAACATGCGAGTGAACCAGAAAGAGCTCAAAGGAAAAAAAACACATACAAAAAAGCAAAGAAAGAACGTTCAAAAATCAGTATTAAAGACCAAAGCCTCCGGTAGTTCAAAGAAAGAGAAACATACAGAGAGCTGAATCCAGATGTAATAATACTTCAAGTGCAACCACTAGAATGGATGAGAATTAAACTATCTTCTTGCTTCTAACATGGTACCGTCATATATCAAGGTAATGCCTAAGAATCAAGGCCTTGCTTGTAGAAAGATCAGAGATGCAAGCATCAAAGGGATTGGTTTAATAAAGCCAGAGGATGGAGTCAACTGATGAGATGAGAGCATTTTATAGTAAATTGGCTTCTTGAGTATAGTATGATATCATATTATTATGGGATGCTTGGAGATTTCCAGCTTGAATGCTGCTTCAGATATGCCAAGATGTTGTTTTACTGAACAATGTTGTAACTGAAAAATCAGGCAATGAGCTGACAGTGAGATATGCCAAGATGTTGTTTTACTGAACCTAAGATGTTGCAACTGAAAAATCAGGCAATGAGCTGACAGTCCATAATATAGATTTTCTTTCTTTCTTTCTTTCTTTCTTTCTTTCAAAGCATTATCCTTTCCAATGTTTATTTAAAAATGTTTAAGGGTGATAGTTTGTCAGAAGTCAAAATTTACATGGATTTCAGTGCTATAAAATAAAATATGGAAAGCTTATTTGTTCAGGTAATTAACGAAACTGAGTCAGTACCTCACCCTTTGTATGACCATGACATCTAAGGGAGTTGGCCCTCTATTTCTTTTTCCATAGTGAATTGTATATTTGGGTGGATGCTGTTAAGATGGTTTAGAAATTCTTCCAGTTTTTCTTCACTGTGGTTCCAAATTGCGAAGGTGTCATCCACATATCAGAACAAGACTGTGGGTGCGAAGGATGCTGAAGGCAGGGCCTGTTTTTCAAAATATTCCATGTAGATATTTGCTATAACCGGGCTGAGGGGGCTCCCCATGGCCACTCCATCTGTCTGATCGTGAGTTCTATGAACCCGAAAAACCCACACCAACCATGTAGTGTATTTCTGAGCGAATATAAAACACAGTGGCTAGGTGATCAGCAAAAGAATGGGATATAATTAAGTAAAAAAATAAATACCAATGGCATTAAAGCTGATGATACACAATTTGCAAACGCCGTAAGTTTCATTCTGTACATTCTTCAACACGAAACTCTGACATTTCATAAACCTTGCACTAGAGTTTAGTGGAACATCTCTGCCACCTACTGAAAAGAGAAACACTTGCTGAAGATATTGCTCAAACAAAAAAAAAGCGGAGAGAAAAAGAAAAATACAAATTGCATCTATTAGCACACAGTTGACATAAAACTGAGGTTTGGATATTGGATTCTGTGTATCTGAGGAAGCGCCTTGTAATCCGCAATTTCTCGTGCTAAAATAAATGCCTTGGTCTTCAAGGCATGAACAAGACCCTTTTTTTTTTTGTTATATTGACACAAACTAGCTTGGCTGCCACTTTTTAAAGCAAAAAGTGCTGCTTATATACCGCCCCATAGTGCTTCAAGCACTTGTCTTTGTTCATTTCTGGAAAGCTGAAATGCCAAAAGAGACAACAGAAGGCCTTCCCCCTGCACTCTGATCATCTCATCTGATAAATCACCCGGTTTTCTCCCCTCCCCTTTCAATGCCCTGCAAGGCAAGGAGGAACAGTCTGCTTATTGCTGCCTCCAGCCCTGCCAGGAAATGAAATTACCTCCTGGCACAAATTCCTTCAGAATCGGCCTTCTTTGCCTCATCTTGTGTGACCCCTAAATGGATCCCGTGTTCAGAATCCAATATGCTGCATCAGAGTTTCTATTTGCAGCCGACTGTTTTATAATGGCCGATGACCCAAGGGAACGGAAAGAAGAATGTGAAGTAGAGCAGGAAAATAAAAATCCATTGAGCTTTAGGCTGCGATCTTACTCACACAATACTGTACTCCCAAGTTACTTCTCTGGGACAGGACTGGGTCGCCGAAGTTACTTCTCTGGGACAGGACTGGGTCGCAGGATCCCTTCTTGAAAGCACGCATCATGTCCATGTTTCCTGTGTGAGACAAATAACGCTTGGTGTAAAACCTTAAAGAGAGGTCAAAATCCTTGGGGTGAATCCTATGAGTTGCCCCAACAGCCAGGAGGCCCTTTGGTCACAGGCCGATTCTGGGTTCAGGTTTCCGGCCTGTAACGCTTTGACCTTAGCTGTTTTGATCCGCAATGCCCATTAGCCCCATGCAACATGAGTGATAATGGGAGATGTAGTCCAAAATATCTGTAGGGCTGCATGGGCCGAAACCTGCCTTAAAATAAGCCCGTTCAGAGTAATCTCTAAGGGGGAAATGGGAGCAAAGGCTGAAAAGTGGTTAAAAAAATACTAAACAATATGGTGTGAGAATCCCTTCTTATGACTATGCATAAAGGCCATATTAAAAGAGAGGCATCCCTCTCTTTTAAACTCATCCCAAATAAACAGAGGTATTTTAGGATAGGTGTAACAATTTTTGTGTCAAAATTATATGTTTTTATCTATGCATTTGGAACAAAGGCTTATGACTATGCATCCCTCTCTTTTACTTATCCCAAATAAACAGAGGTATTTTAGGTGTAATAATTTTTGTGTCATAATTATATGTTTTTATCTATGCATTTGGAAGCCGCCTAGAGTGGTCGTAAGACCAGATGGGTGGGGTATAAATAAAATAAAATATTAAATAGGAGTATTACGTACTTCGCGACTACCTACTTCGTGACTACCAGATCGCATTTTCCAGGGGTGGGGAAATTGCTGAGGAAAAGGACTGGAGGAAAGAAGCCCTACCGTCCAGCCCGCCTGTTTTCAGGGGTCAAATTACACATTACAGAGACCACAAGGGTCTCTAATTCTAATTCTGTGAGGATTAGAAGAGGGAACGGGACTCAGTTAAGTGCGTCTCTGCAACACCCTCATGTGTATTTTACCAAAATGGTGGTGGTTGGTTTTTCTCCCCTTAACTTTGTCATCTTTTATCTTATCGACCCACATCTCTTCGCCATCCCCACCTGGATTCAAAACGCCCAGCCCTTCAGGACCCTAATAAAGAGGAGCCCAGAGGGAGAGGAGCGGGTCTCCTCAGAATCAAGCCCTACGGAGCTGGCGGGGTTTCCTTCCTTCTGCAGGAGGAGGTTGGGGGGAGGGGTGGCCTGGATCGCCGAAAGGCGGGCGACCGGCTCGGCGCCATTTCACCGCGGCACTGACCGCACGACGCCCGCCTGGGGCAGGCTCTGGAGCCCCGCCCCTGGCGAGGCCACGCCCCCTTCTCCTTCTCCCGCCCCCTTCTTCTGCGGCCCCGCCCAGACGCGGTGGGCGGGGTTTGCGGCGGGAGAGAAAAAAAAAAACAGAGGTATTTTAGGATAGGTGTAACAATTTTTGTGTCAAAATTATATGTTTTTATCTATGCATTTGGAAGCCGCCTAGAGTGGTCGTAAGACCAGATGGGTGGGGTATAAATAAAATAAAATATTAAATAGGAGTATTACGTACTTCGCGACTACCACGTCGCATCTTCCAGGGGTGGGAAAATTGCTGAGGAAAAGGACTGGAGGAAAGAAGCCCTACCGTCCAGCCCGCCTGTTTTCAGGGGTCAAATTACACATTACAGAGACCACAAGGGACTCTAATTCTAATTGTGTGAGGATTAGAAGAGGGAAGGGGACTCTTTTAAGTGCGTCTCTGCAACTCCCTCATGAGTATTTTACCAAAATGGCGGTGGTTGTTTTTTCTCCCCTTACCTTTGTCATCTTTTATCTTATCGACCCACATCTCTTCGCCATCCCCACCTGGACTCAAAACGCCCAGCCCTTCAGGACCCTAATAAAGAGGAGCCCAGAGGGAGAGGAGCGGGTCTCCTCAGAATCAAGCCCTACGGAGCTGGCGGGGTTTCCTTCCTTCTGCAGGAGGAGGTTGGGGGGAGGGGTGGCCTGGATTTACTACGCATCCAGCGGGGGAAAAAGGGGGAACTGCCGGCAAACAGGGGCGCCCCCCATGAGAGGAGCTGCGCCAAAAGACGGGCGACCGGCTCGGCGCCATTACACCGCCCTCGCCTTCCTCACGAGGCAGCACTGACCGCACGACGCCCGCCTGAGGCAGGCTCTGGAGCCCCGCCCCTGAAGAGGCCACGCCCCCTTCTCCTTAGGTGGGTGGCCTGGATTTACTACGTATCCAGCGGGGGAAAAAGGGGGAACTGCCGGCAAACAGGGGCACCCCCCATGAGAGGAGCTGCGCCGAAAGGCGGGCGACCGGCTCGGCGCCATTTCACCGCGGCACTGACCGCACGACGCCCGCCTGGGGCAGGCTCTGGAGCCCCGCCCCTGGCGAGGCCACGCCCCCTTCTCCTTCTCCCGCCCCCTTCTTCTGCGGCCCCGCCCAGACGCGGTGGGCGGGGTTTGCGGCGGGAGAGAAAAAAAATTCCACCCACGCCGGAGAGGGAGGGATGGAGGGAGAGCGCCGACGTCGTTGCCGTGGCAACCCGGGGGCTGTTTTGCCGCGGCGGTACCGGAGCCTCCGCGCTTGCGCAGTGGCCCTCGACGTCACCCCCCTTCTCCTCCTCCTCGTCCCCCCACGGGGGGGGAGCCGTTTCTCCCTCCTTATTTCCCTCCCCACTTCGGTCTCCCTCCCCCCCAAAACAAGGCTGGAGCGGGGCGGGGGGAGCGGCGGCGGCGGCCGGTGAGTACGAGAAGCCCTCGGCAACACAGATTCAATCGGGCATCTTCCCCCTCCCCTGCAAAAACAAAGAAAGGGGAGGGGATGATGGGTCTTGTTACCCCCACCTCGCTTTCCTTGGAGAGGGGGGGCAACTGAGACCCCCACCACCAAAGGGAAAGGGGCTTGGAAGGGTGGCCCCCCCACTCCTACTCCTCCTCATAGTTGGCGTGGGAGGGGTTGCTAGGAGACACCCCCCCCTCTCTCTCCAAATGGGGTGAATAACCTTCATTCCCCTTAGAACTCTCGTCCCCCCCCCCTTTTTG